TTTGCGCCTGACCTTATTGAATATGCATTTGTAGGAGTTTCCCTTTCAGACTCAAAATGTATGGGAGGTGAGTATTCAAATGAATCACGCAACGAGATTTACTAACGTTTGCGTTATAATCGTTTGCCAAACCATGCTATTTTTAATTTGCTTCAGGAGATAAAAGACCCTCAACTAGGAGTCACGCTATACGAGGACTATCAACTCTGCTGAAAAAACAATAGAACCATCACAGAAAATTCTAATGGCTTCCATTACAAATACCATTACAAACATTACAAACCATCAACTTTTAACCGTTAAAACCATTAAAAAATGGTTTTCTGTAGTGTGTTTTGGGACGTATTCCATTAGGATTTAGTGGTTTTATCAAGCCACCAATAGAAGGCGACCAATTACCAGTAGAGACCCACAGGGACCATTACAGTTTCCATTAAAACCAACACAAGTCCCATTATAACCAGTAAAACCATTACGAATTTTGTGATGGTGTTATTTTTCAGCAGGGAAAACTTCTTGCAACCCTTTAATTTTTGGCCTCCGGTTCTTTTCAAACGTACTGTGGCTTTTTTATTGGTTTATTCTTTATTTGCGACTACATTGTTAGTAAATCCTTATCGGCGCTGTTTTGGAATTGCGCTCTCTCGCTAATTTGCCCTGTTTAGTAAAACTGGCCCATAATGGTTTATCTCGCTTTCTTCCAGCCTTTAGTGTTTTCATACTTTGTTCAGACAGATGAAGAGCTACTGATATTGTTTTCTTACTTGAATATTGAGGTAATTCTACTATGTACAGTTATTCCATCAAGCACCGCATCTGGTTTATTTGACATTATGTCTTCGGTTGTTACAGCACAATAATGTAAAGACACATCAGCTCTGAGCTTTAAAGAATATGTTATTTATGCAAATAATTCCTATTCAAATCTAATAAGCACATTGATGTGGTTTGTAGCTAGTCCAGGAGGTATTTACATATTTGATACAGCTTATCATTTGGCTGTTTTCTTCCTCAGAATTCTGAAGTTTTTCATACATTATGGATAGATACATCATGTTTATATGGTGTATCTGGTACTACAGATGAAGCATTTCAGTGCTGGTAATGATCAGACACTTTTGATCAATATTGATATTTATTAGCATTTTATTGAATTTGTATGCAATGCTGCCCTTTAGGATGAAAGATTTGATTTTGTATACTCACGACTAGTATGCCGTGTTACTCTTCAGATACAGTCATGTGTGGAAGAGTATTGATATGCGAGCTGTTATTACACTCACAAACCAAGCAGCTTGTCTGATTCACAGGTTTCTGGTTTTAGTATATACATTATTTGTAATATACCTTGCAAAAATAACAATTGTTATCAGACCAACAAAATAAATAAATATATGAGTAAATGACTGTGAGAGATGCCTTTATAAGTCCATGTTGTATTAATGTGATGAAACTGACATAAAGGTGGCAGAATGTTTCCAATAAAAATCTTTAATGACTATTAAAACACAGGCCAGGTTTGAGGCTAAAGCAAACTCTATTACACAGAGATAAGACGCGTTGTTTTGTTCTTTTCACTCTTTACTCGTTTTCCGGGTTTCCTGTGTTTGTCCTGAGAAACGCCAACTCCTACTAAAGCGAAGGAGAAGCTCATGAATATTAAACAGATCGTGAGGTCGCTTTGTAACTTTCCGGGAGTGTCTGGAACATGATCTCATTAATATTACGCAGCCGAGTGTGCGCTGTGACGTGATTGGCTAATCCGCCAGTTGTGAAACGCCCACTTGCACCAAGGTTTGAGCGCAGTTCAGTGCGGGGCGAGAGGTCCGTTATATCATTATGATTGACGAGCCGATCCTTCGCTATAGTAGGGTTAGATGCGCTGTCGAGGAGCTGCAGATGGGCAGACATACTGTTCCTCAAACCATGATCAGTTAAGAAACTCTGATATTGGCAGACGAGCTCATTAAAATGGCGAGAGACTTCCCTACAGCAAGTCTGAGTAGCATCGACCTCGCCTGTTTACGGGTGAGTGCAGCCTTCACTGTTTGTGTTCTGGTTTCGCTAGTTTCGCAGCGATAGGTCGAGGCTTGGCACAAAGTTTCTGTCAGCGCTCAATCACACTGATTTGGTAGCGAGAACTTGTATAAACTTTACTCTAACTGTCGTTTCAAGTTTACAGTAGTCGTCGAACTCTGCTCTTGTCAGTCGTGTAAGTTATGATCTGGGAGTGAAAACAGAGCATGTCTCAAATCACAGTCTAGAAATCCCAATCCGAATCCGAATCCGAATCAAGCGTGTTTACACACACAAGACACTCTCTTGTCAGAGCTTCCAGAACAGAAAGTACATATCATTTACGGTTATAACCCTCATGAAAAAATACTATAGTAATTTATAGTGTTTTTGAACCATACTATAGTAAAGTACTTGAATTAATGTGTTGTAGTCATTCTGTAGTTGCTGTGGTAATACAATATAAACAAAACATTCAAGTTTTCTACAACTATAGGGAATAAAATACACTACAGTTTACTGTAGGTTAGTAAAAGCTAAAGTATACTACAGTATTTATTAGTGGTCGACCGATATTGGGTTTTTGACAGCCGATGCCGATATTTTGGAAAGCAGGGTGGCCGATATAAAGCCGATATAATTTTATTTATTTTAATTAATGTTTAAGAAATGTAAAAATAATTTGAAAATGGATGAAAAAATTAATGTGTTAAATAAACATACTTATACTTTAGATGACAAATTATTTTTTTCACAAATAAATAAATATTTAATGAAAAATATAATAAAAAAGGAAGTAAACACTGTAACCAACAGGGCACTCAGTATTCTGGGAAGTTTGTGTGCATTAATCATATTTTTTCAAATAAAGCCAAGGTAACACTCATTTTACATACAGCACACAGTGGAAATGACATGAATATGGCAGCGGGCAAATGCATAAAGCGCAGCATAATTTGAAATCACGAGTTTAAAGTTTGTCTCCAGTGAAGCTGAACTCTCCTCCTGTCTGCATTACATTCACACGGACCGACCGTCACGCAGAGAACACGCGATCATGCAGGATACACATGCACACTTCACAAGATCTCAACTAGATCCGACTAAGTCTGCAAGCTTTGTGAAATTAAATGTTCATTAGTCATTCAGATTTGTTTAAATTATATAAATGCGTATTTGCTGAATGCTGACGGCAAACAAGAAAGTATTATAATGTTTGCCTTTCTATTACTAATAATATAAAAGCAATCGTTATAATACTTTTTGTATACATTTTAATTCCTTTGTTTAACCGTTCTATCTGGTTATTAGACAGACTTCTATCCGTATTAGACAGAACTGTTAACGACGACAGCGAACAAGACGGAGAATGTCAGCGCTGTCAAAATAAAAGTCCCGTCTCTAACGCATCGGCCAAACAAGAACACTTATCGGCTGATGCCGATATTTAAAAAATGCCAAATATCGGCCGATATATCAGCCTTGGCGATATATATCGGTCGACCACTAGTATTTATTACAGTTTATCAGTTCACTATAGTTAATACTACAGTAGCATTCATTAACAAAGTGTTGTAAATACTATAATATATACAGTATAATACACTTTACTATAGTATGGTTCAAAAACACTAGTATTTACTGTAAATTACTATAGTATTTTTTCATGTGGATAAAGAGAATAGACAATAAATAACAATATTGTAACAAAATACAGAGCAAAAGAAAATGTCAACAGACAGAATTGTGAATGTGCTATTAACAGATGAAATGTTTTAATGAGTTATATACAGATGTACAGTCCTGAGATGTGCAAAGCTTGATTAGTCTCTAGTGAGATGCCAGTGTCAGGGGCCCCTGAAGCTCAGTGTTTCTCTTGATTTCAGGATCCCGCCGGGATCTTCGAGCTCATCGAGGTGGTCGGCAATGGGACCTATGGACAGGTTTACAAGGTTTGTGCTGATCATTGCTCGTCTTGTTTATTTATTTTTTCCAGATTCAAACTTGGAGTGTATTTTGATTGCAGTGATTTTGTGTCACATGATGGTTATGTGGCTCGGGAGCGTGCAGAAGTGCAGTGGTTCTGGTCCGGATCAGTCTTCTGCTCTGCCAGCTCTCAGCTCTCAGCTCTGGTGCGATAAATAGCTTGCTAATGAAACCTACGAGTGTGGTTTTGGTCTTTGACACAGTCTTTGGGTGGAGCTCACTTCCTCATGAAGGTCAGAGCGTGCTTCACAGAAACATCGGATCTTTAAAGAAGCGTGTAGTGAGCCCAGGCATCCTGTGAGATGTGTGACACACATGTGTGTTTGATTCAGGTCAGGGTGGATCTGCAACCGTCCCGCTGTGGATCGTCTTGTGCAACCATTTCTTCTCCTCTTTCTTCTAAAGCATGCAGTAAAAGCAGCACAAAGTGTAGGGTGGGACCCACACAGATTAGGACAGACTTAGGGTTTCTATTTCAGGCTTTTATATTGTGATTGTGTGATACTGCATCATATTTTAGTACCATATAACGCACATAGTTGTATCCATGTTGTTATAATAAATGCTAGTGCATGCATGACATATGGTCTCTCATTTACACAGATCAAACCCATGTATTACAGGCATAGTTCAGCCCGGATGAAAACTCTGTCATCATGTTCTTCCAAACCTGTATGAGTTTCTTTCTTCAGCTGAACACAAAAGAAGATATTTTGAATGTTGGTCTCCATTGACTTCCATTGAAAAAAACCCAAAACATATGTGACCCTGATGCACAAAACCAGTCATAAGAGTCAATTTTTTTAAATTGAGATGTATACATGAGCTGAAAGCTGAATAAATAAGCATTCCATTGTTGTATCCCCAGCGACTTAAGACTGCTTTTGTGCTGCAGGGTCACATATTATTACATATCATTGCTCTTTTGTTGGTTTTGATTGCTTCTATTGTCCACATTTGTAAGTCGCTTTGGATAAAAGCATCTGCTAATTAAATGTAAATGTAATGTATCCCCCCCCCCCACACACACTGTGGAGGTCAGTGTGTACCAGCAACTGTTTGGTTATCCATATCCTTCAAAAGGTCTTCTTTTATGAAAGATATTTGTAAAAGTTATAAGAAGCTCATACAGGTTTGGAGCAAATTGAAAGTTAGTAAACGGTGACGGAATTTACATTTTTGGGTGAACTGTCCCTTTAAGAAAGTTATTTCTTAAATAATTTGCAATAATTAATGTTGTTAAATCATTTTCAATCTAGAGAAATTGCGTTCTAAATCCAGGAACCTGCTTTGGAAGCATATATCAGTGTGTGATGATTTGCCATAAATTATGGTCATTAAGTGAAGAAATATCCATTCTGATTATTAGTGGTAATTGCACAGCTATAGTTCTGAATTCACTTGTTTCATCATGTATTTTCACATATGAGGCAACACTTCCACACCTCTAGCGCAGTGCACTTTCACTGTTACTGCATCTCTACAATCCACATGAAACGGAAATTGCGAGTGATGTTTCTTCTCTGTTGTGACATCATACATGCAAACTTGTCACCTTTGGGTGAAATTAATCGTTCTTACATTGATATACTCCATTAGTATTGGAGTATTCTAGTATTGAATACTCCATTCATATGATTCCTGCAAATGATTCAAAGAAGAAAAAACCGTCTTCACACAAGTCTTTGATGGCATTTTCTTTCCATCCTACCACTGTATTGAGCCTAAAAGTGGTGTTTTTTTATTCTGTGCACAGGGGTAACCGCTGTATTTTCAATAAGCATCACCTATATAACATGTTTTGTTTTTGTGGAACTGTCTCTGCCGTAGACATTAGTGTTGCTTCAAAACCCGCTGCTATTTAAACAACATGCAGGTCTATTATAACATCAGGTTTTTAGCTGCTGATTACGTTCAATCTCTTGGAAGATTAGATGTGATCTCCCCCTCCTTCTTAAAGGGGTCATGACATGAGAAATCAAATTTGCCTTGATCTTTTGGCATCTAAGAGGTCTCTGTACCATTAAAACATCCTGCAAGTTTCATAGCTTAATACGTCCTCCTCGTTATAAAGCATTTATTTAATCGAGCTCCAGAAACAGCTCGTTTGGATCTGATGTACAAGGTGACGTCACTCAGCACCAGTCGTTTGCATAAACACGCCTCCAGAGCTAGACATCGACCAATAGTCTTCTTCTCAGCATAGGCCCCGCCCACTGGCGTTCAGTCGCTAACGGCTGACGATCACGATGAATGCGAGCGTTGTGTCGCGTCGCGTCAAAAGCAAATAGAAATGACAATCACTGCGCTATCTTGTCTACAGTGGATACAGTACACAGATGCGGTTCTCTTTCTGACACAGTCCAGCGCTCGAGTCTGTCGTCAGGACAAATGCAGTGAAAGAATGTTCGGTCCCACTTTATATACTATGAACTCACATTTAAATTAATCATTTGGTACAATGCACTTATTGTGTACATACATGTTTTTACATTGTACTTATATTTTAAAAATACCTGCATGTAATTACATCTGTAATTAATTTCTGTAATTGCATTTATAATTACACTGTTCACCCATCCCTCACACCTTAACCCACCCTTAAACCTCCCCAAACCACCAAACCTGTCCCTTTTCTTACTGTATTCCTTTACGATGAATTGCGCTGTGCTGTTCCTCACCACGCAGAAATACACACCAAAATCAGCCTGATCTGTCAGGGTCAGTGTTAATTCACTGCTCTTAATGATGTGACCCTCATCAGGGTACCTGCCAAGTGTTTACATTTATTAGAGTGAGGAATATTGAACAATATTTTGACTTAAACTAGTTAATTTGTGCTTTGAAATGAAGCACATTTTTCAAGCATTAGTATCGACTGTGTTCAAAATAGCATACTAGCATGCTACTCATAGTATTTCCCTAGAAAGTGTACTACACAGAGTATGCAAATTGTATGCATTCAGAGAAAACTGATGATGTACAATGCCAAAATATGCTATATACAACAAGAGTACACTGTTAGGTGCATACAGTATGTCCCACAATGCAATCTGCTTGACTTAAAAAAAAAACCTACATCTGTAATGAATTTCTGAAATTACATTTGTAATTACACTGTTGATCCATCCCGCACACCTTAACCCACCCTTAAACCTACCCAAACCACCAAACCTGTCCCTAACTTTACCCATATCCCACATCAATAGCAGCAAAAGTGTTTTGCAATACAATGTGAACACCATAAGTACATTGTACTTATTTTTTATGTAAGTACATAGTAGTTAAGGCCACCTAATATAAAGTGTGACCGAACGTTCGCTTTGACGCGTTTGGTTTAAGCAGCTCGTTCATGTCTTTGTACCGATATCAGAAGGATCCCAGCATAAGGAACAAGTGGATAGTTTATTTTTAATGCCATCCCGGATTGGAGCATTTTGTTTTGTAATCGAGGCACAGTGTCATGGAGAGTCACAAAGAATCATTTGTTGAAAGATGAAGCAGTAGATCTGACTGCAGCTGCATCACAAACCGTAAGTAAATGATTTCATAATGCTTCGTCTGGAAATGACCGTTTCCTATGCAGTGACGTTAGCCAATCACAACAGCGGCTGATTACTGACAAACCTTAAAGGACACGCCCCTTAAAACAGATCGTTTCAGAGAGAGGGTCAGAATGAGGGTTGAAAATAATCATTTTTCCACATATTTATTTATTTATTTATTTATTTTGTTGTGTGCATAAAACTTTATTCACATTAGAAGTAAACCTCAAGGAACATATTAAAATAATAAAAAAAATCCATGCCATGACCCCTTTAAAATTTGCTTCAGCACCATCCATTTGTTTTTGAAATTCACCTCAATATTTATATCCACTCCAGGCAGCATTTAGTCCAATAAAACGAAATATGAAGAAAAAAAAAAAATAGGATGACAACACACGGTTTTCATTTCTTCCTTCAGTCAATTCAGTCACTGGTAAAACACAATAAAACAGTCCTTTATCAAAAACAATAGGGCCTTTCGCACCGCGGGAACCTTTTCATAGTACCAGAACTAACTGTGGAACTACCCACTTTTTGGCGTTTTCGCACCGCCGGAACTGGGTGTGATTTTAGTTCATATTTTAGTACCATATAACGCACATAGTTGTATCCATGTTGTTATAATAAATGCTAGTGCATGCATGACATATGGTCTCTCATTTACACAGATCAAACCCATGTATTACAGGCATAGTTCAGCCCGGATGAAAACTCTGTCATCATGTTCTTCCAAACCTGTATGAGTTTCTTTCTTCAGCTGAACACAAAAGAAGATATTTTGAATGTTGGTCTCCATTGACTTCCATTGAAAAAAACCCAAAACATATGTGACCCTGATGCACAAAACCAGTCATAAGAGTCAATTTTTTTAAATTGAGATGTATACATGAGCTGAAAGCTGAATAAATAAGCATTCCATTGTTGTATGGTTTGTTAGGATAGGACAATATTTGGCTGAGATACAACTATTTGAAAATCTGGAATCTGAGGGTGCAAAAAAATCTAAATATTGAGAAAATCACCTTTAAAGTTGTTCAAATGAAGTTCTTAGCAATGCATATTACTAATCAAAAATTAAGTTTTGATATATTTACGGTAGGAAATTTACAAAACATCTTCATGGAACATGATCTTTACTTAATATCTCAATGATTTTTGGCATAAAAGAAAAATCTATAATTTTGACCCATACAATGCATTGTTGGCTATTGCTACAAATATCCCCCAGCGACTTAAGACTGCTTTTGTGCTGCAGGGTCACATATTATTACATATCATTGCTCTTTTGTTGGTTTTGATTGCTTCTATTGTCCACATTTGTAAGTCGCTTTGGATAAAAGCATCTGCTAATTAAATGTAAATGTAATGTATCCCCCCCCCCCACACACACTGTGGGGGGCAGTGTGTCCCAGCAACTG